AACTGGGAATTGCAAGTAATTAAGCCAGAATTTAGAGTTTATATCATAATTCTGACTTTTTTTCTCAGAATAGCACGTTTATATACACATGATTGCATGAAAAAGTGGGATTTGTTACATATAAACTCAGTATTACACAACAGGCTTCCATAATAGCCTGCATAACTTACTTTTTTCTGTGGAACACAAAATAAGATATTTTGAAGAATGTTGGTACCAAACCGTTTTGATGACCATTGGCTTCTTTTCATAAGACACAAACAGACACATATTCTCAAAACATGAGAGTGAGTAAATAATGACAGAATTGTCATTTTTTAATGAATTATCCCTTTAAGTTATGATAATGATCATCATCAAGGAATCATCAAGTTATTAAGAAAAAAATATGTGCTGTATGTGCTCAGTGTTTGCTGCAGGATGTACAGGTGGACAGACACTGATCGATCCTCATCTAAACTCTGTGTGTTGGATTATTAATGAGATTTTTGTTCATATTTGTTTTTCCAAGTACAGGCGTTGTGTGAAATGTGTCAAATGGTGCATTAAACACCTGTCGCCTGCCTCTCAGCCCTGCTAGTTCATTCTCTGAGGTGGACTCTGATCTTTATTGTGTTTATTACTTTTGAACCTCAGCTTTAATAGGTGTTTTTTGTAAATTTTTGTTGTCACCATGAGTAAATGCTGTGTTAGAGTGATTTAGAATTTAGTTTGAGTGTATGTTGATTTGTAATTGTGTTTTTTTTTTTCATCCATCTAGAAAATTCTTGTGGAAATTGAACAGAGAATATCCAGTCTTCCTGTGTGTGGATTGAAAGAACAGGAGCAACATGAGGCTGAATCGCTCAACACCAAACTCCAGCTGCTGAAGAACAGACTGGTGACAGTCCAGTTACAGCTGCAAGAGAGACACAGCGAAGATCAGGTACACAGACACACATACACTAATACATCCAGAATTTAGTCTGTTACCAACCACAAAATGTCTGTTTTTTATGTTGGGGACAGAGTAATCCAGGTGTACTTAATGAACAGATTGCATGTGATGACAGAAAGTGATCATTATCATGCTAATTGCTGCTGATTTTCACATTTACTGATTCTGAGGTATTAAATCTAGAAGTGTTGCTAGTGAGAGGCAGCAAAGTGCCTGGATTTGAGCTGTGAAAATAGGGCTGTCTGAGGTGTTATGTTTCTGTCTCTCTCTGTCTGCAGGTACATGTTGAGAGTCAGCGGCCCCTGCAGGCCAGGTTGACGCGCAGCAGCAGTGTGCAGGAGATGTTGAGTTCTTCCAAAACCAAACTGTTTAGACAGAGCAGCCTTCAACAACAAAGGGTAATGCACACATTCATTCACACACTTTAAAATATTAGTTATAGCTCACCTTTCTTGAAAAATGTGTCTCTGTAGGGTTTAACAATAAGGATTTTTTACTAGTCTATAGTCAGATTAGGTTTTTTCTTGCCCTGACAATATTTCTACTGACTCTCTACCATTAACGTAAATTTTATTTTGGGGGGTTGGTAGGATTTTTTAATGGCTGCTTGTATTTGATCAAAACTACAGGAAAATACAGGAAAATCATAATATTGTTAAATCCTTTTTTCAGTTTAAAATACCATTTTTTATTTTAATATATTATAAAATGTAATTTATTCTTTTGATGACAAAGCTGAATTTTCAGCAGCCCATTACTCCAGTCTTCAGTGTCACATGAGAAATTATTCTAATATGCTGATTTGGTGCCCAAGAACTCGTTTATTATTATAAAAGTTCTGCTTAATATTTTTGAGGAAACCATTATACATTTAGGATTCTTTTAAAGTACAAAAGAGTAGCATTTATTTGAAATAGAAATCTGTTGTAGCATTATAAATGTCTTCACTGTCTCTTTTGATCAGTTTAACCTATCCTTGCTGAATAAAATGATCAATTATTTTAAAATAAATCCCACTGACTCCAAACTTTTGAAGTAGTGTATATTTTTGATTTCACATTTCAGGTTCAAATAAAATGAAATGAAATAAAATATTTAAAAAAATTATGTACTCGTTTTTTTAATTAGCAATAAAACCTGGATATTATAAATGTACTATGTAACTCCATGACAGCTATAGTTTCAGACACTTCTGCTGGAAAATTATGTCCTGAATTACAAAACATTACTGATTTTTAACCTGTTTTAATGCTTCTAAGTCTATGAAATGTCATATCAGTCCATCATTATCTCTGAGACCGGCTCTCTCACTCTCTTTCTTTGTCTGTTTAAGGAACTGGAGCGTGGATTGAATGAACAGAAGGATCTAACTAAAGCTATTGCAATTCAAGGCAGCAGAGCCCAAACACAGAGCCAGAGCACAGATGAACATGCAGGGTATCTAAATACACACCCTTATTTATACAAATATATGCCTAGACTTTGTAGCCATATAACACTCCATGATGTCTGCAGCCCCTCACCAGCAAATGAAGACAAAAGACAGGAAGTAGAGTTAGCAGCAGTCCACAGGAAGTGGACACACCTCTGCAGCAGATTGACCAAGACAGCAGAGACAGAGCCAGGTGGACATAAAGATCAGGATCCATCTGAGGTCTGAACACTTTGGATTTTCTCCAAATGTTTATTTAAAGTTTCTGTTTGCTAATGTTTAATGTGTAGTAATTTTAATGTGGGCGTTATTTTAAGTAAAGAACATTGCGATATTTGTGTGTGTGAACAGATCCTCGCTCCATCTGTGTGTTTGTGGAGTGGAGCTGCTGTTTCTTTCTGTCTCCAGGAGATTCAATCCAACATCTCACAACTCAAAGAACTGCAAAACTCAGCAGTTACAAAGGTGTCAATAACAAACACACATAACACACAGGATTACTGTTCATAACATTTTAAAAAGATGCGTAGCATAACAGATACTCTCTTTTCAAGATAAGAGTACACATTCAGTCAATACTGTCCAACTTGATAACAAATATATTTAACTGCTCTTTCTGTGTGCCTGTGTGCAGGATCCATCTCTGGATGAAGGTCTATTTGAGGTGTTGAGTGGAGTGGATCTCACTCTCAACTCTCTCACACACACTCTTATGTTTCAGCCAGCAACCTTAAACACTGACATATTAAACCAATTAGAGCAGCTACAGGTATTCAGCCATCCATTTGACCATCTGTCTGTCACTTCATTTATCCATTACTCCTCATTTCTTCTCTGATTTATAGGGTTTATCTGCAGAGCTGATCTCCTTGGGTGCCATATTGACCTCCCAGGGGTCAGAGGTCATAAAGTTGTTAGGTTTGGGTTCAGCGATATCAGAGACCTCCACTTGTTTTGACCTGCTGAGGCAGTGTGTATGTGACGTTCAAAAGACTCTCGCTGATAAACAGGAGCAGCTACAGGAACGATTAAAACATACGACTCAGCTGCAGGTCAGACTTTTATCTGCTTATTACCAACACAAAGTGATGAGATGTGTGTGCAGTCACTTAAAAATACTCCTGCAGTTTAAGTTACTACTAGAAACATGGTTCAGAAAATGTCTGTGTCAGCAGCAGTTACATTTTTGCAGGTTTTAACACCCCAAACCTTCGGATGTCTCGCCTTCATAACTGTCACAAATACTCACACTTGTTTGTTATGAAACTTGTCATCATAATGTCAGACATAATGTTCTCTTCAGTCTCGTGTTTAATCCCATAATTCTATCTCTGCATTTAAGATGAGTATTTAAGGTCTACTCTTTTGTACTTTTATTTGGACCTTTTTTATCAAGCATGACTCAATTGCAATATTTCCTTGTGTGTCAAACCCTGCAGAAGAGAGTGAAAGACCTGCATGACTCAGTACTAACTAATGCATCAATCCTTCACCCTACAACTAATGGAGAAACCCACTATGACCTTCACACACAGCTGCAGGTAAGCACACGAGCCTGTGAATAACACAGCTTGTAACACATCAGGATGTGTGTGTGAAGATTAAACACTACTGGAGAAATTGGCCTAATACTCTTTAACATATCTGCAAGAAAAAATACTGATGTCTTCAGTGTACATTTGCTGACTTCGGTGCCACTTCACCTCTCTGCATTTTATAAGTTATAATGTTTCCTCTGAAAACCACTCATAATACTAGCCAGGGTTTCGTGCACCAGAAACAGTTTTTCTTATTAGTTTTGATCCACTCATTTGATTGGAAAAGCATCATTTGTTAGTACAGATATGTTGTATAACAGCATTAGGTGTTCACTGTGCCTAAACTCTAAGATTTTGACCTTTTTGTATTTGTGATTCCGCATGAAGGCCATCACTGGATGGAAACGGGAAGTGGAGCAGAGTGAGAGAAAGTTGGCAGAACATAAAGAAGAGACAGAGAGTCGAGATCAGCCCTCGTCCCTCACACAGCAGATCAGCACACTGGAGGTATGGATACGGTGGCCGAGAAGTGCAAAGCAGATCACAATTCTGAAAACAAAATAGCAAATTACAAACGCAAATGCAAGTCTAAAAAACAAAATAACAATTCAGAAAGCACAACAACAATTCAGAAAAACACAATGACAAATTCGAAAACAAAATAAGTCAGAAAACACAACGACAAATCCGAAAACAAATTTACAAGTCAGAAAACACAACAACAAATCAGACAAACCGGAAGAGGTAGGTATAGTTTGAGACAGCGCCATTAGTTTGGGTTTACTCACCGTTGACTGGACAAGACATCTGTCAATCAACGTATACAGGGAAGAACCAGCCGGAGAACAGCAGAGTCGTGGTAGAAAGTTCGGAGATGGTAATAAAGTAGCTCAGTTTAAATGTATTGTATGAATTGCCGTTACTCTGGAATAAAAAATACGGGGTGTCTATTTACATCTAGTTAAAAGTGGCTGTAAATCATCAGCTCCAGTGGCGCAGATGGATAAGTGTGTGGCCTTGGCATTTTGACGCGATCGACCCAGGTTCGATCCCGCCTTTTGCCGAACTTTTTATTTCTCCCTTTTCAAATCTCATATTAGCAATGGATTCTATTTACACTAAGTGAAAATAGCAGTATTTTTAGCAATATGCTATTTACACTAAGTGCAAATACCTATTTACACTATGTTAAAATAGCAGGATTTCTACTATCAAGTATACTACTTGTTGCAAATAGTGGCAATTATCTGCACTTCAGTATTGTAGTACATTATAAAACAGTATGCAATAATAACGTATTGAGTGTAAATTATAATTTTATTAATTATTTGGATGCCACCTTATTGGTACAATAAAGCCCTCCCTACACCTACCCTAACCCTACCCGATACTTTATTTTCAACTTTTTTATTATTTCCTTAATTTTTATTGAAAATAAATGCCATTACGATGTGATACGAGATTTGAAAAGGGAGAAAAAAAAGTTCGGCAAAAGCCAGGATCGAACCCGGGTCGATCGCGTCAAAAAGCCAAGGGCATCTGCACCACTGGAGCTGATGTTTTACAGCTACTTTTAACTAAATGTAAATAGACACTCCGTATTTTTTATTCCATAGTAAGGGCAATTCATAAAATACATTTAAACTGAGCTACTTTAATACCATCTCCGAACTTTCTACCACGACTCTGCTGTTCTTCGGCTGGTTCTTCCCTGTATACGTTGATTGACAGATGTCTCGTCTAGTCAGCGGTGAGTAATCCCAAACCAATGGCGCGGTCTCAAACTATACCTACCTTTTCCGGTTTGTCTGATTTGTCGTTGTGTTTTCTGACTTGTTATAATGTTTTCTGAATTGTTGTTGTGCTTTCTGAATTGTTATTTTGTTTTTTAGACTTGCATTTGCGTTTGTAATTTGTTATTTTGTTTTCAGAATTGTGATCTGTTTTGCACTTCTCGGTCACCGTATATGAATGTGCAGCATTCATAATTTATTATAAAATGTCTTGTAAATTACAATTCATTTCCTGTTAGCAAGCATGGGGCACAATTGTAATTAAAGTCCAAATTTACTCAATATAATAATATACATATTAAATTGTAATATACACTCTCTGTAGGCGGTTTTGGAGAGTGTTTGGAGTGATCTAGAGCAGCGCTGTGGAGTTGTGCAGTGGAGTCTAGATGAGCAGAAGATGAGTGAAAAAATCCTGAAGGGTCTGCAGATGCTTCTGACGATTGGAGGAGAGAAACTCACCTGCACCTCTCAGCTGGAGCTCAGGAATCCAGCACAAATACAGACATACCTCAACACACACACGGTAAACATATCACACACCTTCAAACATCCTAGCTAAATACACACACAAATTAATCAGCTGCACAAATACAAAAAAACTAATATACATTACATCACACATGAATCACATTATAGCAACATTAAAGGTCCTGCAATCTCTCATTCATCTCCCTAACTTTGTAAATCTATAGGCGTTTTTCCTGTCTCTGGGTGCCCACCTGAGGAGACTGCAGCAACTGAGTGTGCGGATGCCAGATAGCGCCGCCTCTGGCTGGGAGACTGAAGTGTCTGAGGTTGAACATCAAGTGTCCAGTGTCCTGCGGCAGGCTCAGGCTGTCGGCACAGTGCTGCACTCAGGGCTGCAGGTACGATAGCGAAAGAATCAAGAGATCATGTGGAATGACACTTTTTACTGTTTTTCTGTATTGAAAGCTGCATTAGCCAAGAGATACAAGAATGGAAAAGAGATTGATGTATAAATAAAAGAACAAGCAAATGGGATTGATGAGTGCATGAATAAATTAACTTGTAGACTGAATGACCAACAGCAGATTTGAATATATTTTTAGTTAATACACCTCTGCCCTTGATAAGGACTTTGATGCATTTCAGGTTTGCACTCACTGGGATGAAAATCAGTCCTGGTTAGAAACGCTTGTGCAAAGGTTAGAGACTCAACTTCCCATAACACCTCTGCAGGACCAAACTGAGGAGCAGCTCAGCGAGAATATATCTGTCTATCAGGTAATGGTTTAGACTTATATATAGTGAACTGACACACATATGTATACCTTTAAAACAGAATGCATGCATTTTTGAAGATCTTTGAATTCTTGTTGTTTGTGATAGAGTGTGCTGGCGGTACTGGAGAAGAACAGAGCTCGGATCAGTCTGGTTCTGGATGAGGGCCGCAGACAGCAGGAGCAGATTTCTAATAGTGATGTGGGTGTGCCTATATGTATAGTGGGTGTGTCTACAGCAAAACTGGAACAGAGATTGGCTGCACTTCAGAGGAGGGTGAAGCAAGGACTTCCCCCCACCCACCATCTTAAGAAGCTTTGGAAAAGGTACAAATGAATGATGTGGGTAAAATTAAGTCAACCAGAGTTTTCACTCTGAAATAATTTTTGCCATTTCATTACACAATGTCCAGAATTCTATGCTATCTCAGTCTTTTAAAATCAAAAAATTTTCAAAATTTACACAAAGGAAAAATATAAAGAATTACCACTACACTTTTTTCCAGGTACCAAAACGATTCAGAGGCTCTGAATGAGTGGATGCGACGAGCCAGAGAGCGCCTTCATACATGGAGAGATCACATGACCACTGCTGAACAGGAAGCGGACACCCTCTCCCATTTTCATCACTTCACAGTCAGTCAACCAGTGATTCTAATCATTCGTTTTTAGTTTAGATGATTTTGAACAATAAAATAATTTAAAACTTAATGACTATTTACAGAAGCTACATAAACCCTGTTGAAAAAAACAGCATACCTGTATGCTGGTTAGGTATGTTTTGAAGTATGGCAGTTGGTTTGAGCTGGTTTAAGCTGGTCCTTAGTTGGTCATGAGCTGGTTATAAGCTGGTTATGAGATGGTCCTGAGCAGGAGCTAGTTGCTGACTAGCACATGACCAGTTTAAACCAGCTCATGACCGGCTGCCATGCTTCAAAACATACCTAACCAGCAAATGCTGCTTTTTCAAGTTAAATTAATATTCATTTCAACTAATGAAAATAATTAAAATAGGTTTAGTTTTAATGATCACAACACCGGTTATATTAGGACATTTTTGTATCTGGGATGTTTTTGACACAGGAGTTCATGAAGGAGCTAGAGGTGAAATCGGCCCTAAAGGCATCAGTGATCAGTTCTGGATCTTTGATCCTGTTGCTCAATGAAAGAGAGCAGAACATTGAGACACAGAAGATCAGCAGAACCACCAGTGCTCCAAGAACCTCCACTCCCTCTGGAAATACAACAACCTCTGAAGACCTACAGCCAAGTGAAACTAGCATCCGGACCTCCATTGTCCTAGATAACAACCCTGAAGACTCCTCATCTGTAGATGTCACCTTACCTTCAGAAACCAATTTTTCCTCTATTCAAAACATCCTCTCAGAAGAAAATCTTTCTACCATGGAAGAATCAGATGGAAAGATCACAAATGAAGGTGTTTTCTTTGAGGAACCAACCTCATCTGTATTCGATTTATCTGTAAAACAAGAGAGGGTTCTGTCCCCAGTTCTTCTGACTCTACAGTCCCAGTTGTCTCAGGTGGAGCAAGACTGGGTGGAAATACAGAAACATATTCCTGTCGTCCAACAGGAACTGCATCAGGTACATTTTACTCCATTACTAACTACATCCTGGATGGTTGGAAATAAAGACCTGTCAGTTTCATGTTCTTCTGTTTGGAGCATTGTCTCTCTGAAGGAGAACATCATGTATAAAAATGTATCATGGAGGTCAGGCAGCCATCCAGGCATGATTACCTGTATTACTGAGAAGTTGATGAAATCTTTGAGGAATAGAGTTATTATCCATTATCAGGTCTCTCGTTCTTCTTTGATTACATGTGTCACCCCTCACCCGGCTCCACTGTTTTCTTTCTTCTCTATTCTCTCCACCTCTGTCTATCACTTTCGTCTTTCTTTATGCCCATTTCTCTGTTCTCTTTCTCTCTCTCAGAGTGTGGTGGAGAGGCTATCTCCTGAAGGACTGCTGGCTGATGTGTGTGGCTGGATTACGGGTGCTGAGAGCAGGTTACAGGCGGCTGAACGAGAGGGTCACAACACCTGTACTGCTGCAGAGTTCACACACCTGCTCAGAACATATCAGGTACCTTGCTTGAGTTTTATCTCTCTATCAATTTTTAAAAAATTCCAGTAATTAGCAAATAAAATAATTATCTTCGATTTGGATTTTATTTGATCCAAAATTTATCAGTGCAAAAATTAACAGATTATTGTTTTTTCTTGTAAAAATAACAAATTGTAAAGAAATCAGCACATATACTGTATGTGAATAAAATGATTATAAAAGTAACTAAAAATCTGAAAGTAATTTATTCAGTTATAGTAAAATAAGTAGCATAAAGTACAAATATAACAAAAAGGAAGACATTACAAATTTAGTAATAATTGAAGAGTTCTTTTCTCTTTCATTACATTTTCAATTTATTGTGGTTTATTAGCATTAAAATCATACATTTGCATTGCCAATTTTTTTGCCTTAAAACAGAGATAAAGAGTTGTATAAAGTAAGAAAAAATATTGAAATAAAATAAAATATAATGCAGAGTTCACTTAGATAAATAACACAAAGGAAAACTGTATGAAAATAACTAAAGAAAAAATGTGCCAGTGCAGTTAACCCTCTCTTTCTTTTCTCTTTCAATTTCAGTTTGTGCTTTACTGACTTGACACAACTGTGTAAACTTGCATTGCCAAAATGTTTGCAGCTTAGCTGCGTGAAATTAAAAAGTGTGAAGTACAAAGTAAATCTTAGAAAGTAACATTCAGCAAATACAAAAAATCACTTTCTCTCTCTTTATTTCACTATTACTTTTCTTTTTCCCTATATAATAAATCTCTTTAGACTTTTTTGACAGAACACAATTTTATTGAATTTACTGATGGTGAAGTTGTTTTTATGCAAATTAAAAAAAAAAAGTTTTGGTCATACCTGTCTCTTATTCTCTTTCTGTCTAGGGGATGAAGAGAGAGATGGCATGTCAACAGATGTCTGTTGACTTTATTAATCAGTGTGAGCTGAAGCAGGTTGGTTTTGACTCTCAAACTAGCAGGTACAAACACACTGCATTTGCTGAAAACCTGGGACACGTCAATCTGCGCTGGAAAACTCTACAGGCTCGCCTGAACACACTGGTGAGTTTATTATTATTATTTATTATTATTCCGCTAACCAATTCAGATTAACATGGTTTGCATTGTGTTTCTCAGATCCAACATGCTGAAAATGAGGCGAGGATGTGTGCAGAGCGAGATAACAAACTACAAATCCTACAGCGCTGGGTCAAAGGTCAAAAACAATGGATGCTATTGGCTGAAAGACCCATCAGTCGCTCATTTGCTGAGAGGAGCCTGAAGGATTGTGAAGTGAGTGGCTGATATTTTCTGGTTGTGGTAACTGATTATGTTAATGCTCACCTACTTTAAAAGCTTTCAAAAAGCTTCTTTTTTTTTATTGGAATTTATTTATATTACATTTTAGAGGAAGTTTACTTGTCAATCTTTCATTCTCAGGAGCTGGGGGGAAAGTTGAAGTCTAAATTCTCAGAACTTGCTGATCTGAGGAAGAGGAGACTTACCACTGATGAAGAAGACAGGGATAAAGACTTCCTCCCAAAAGCTCACAATCTTTCACAATTTTTGACTGACCTCTCTCAACAGGTATGCAGACAAAAACTTGGTCCTGTGGATTAAAACAAAACCAACAAATATTTAGAAACACTCTTGAGTGTGTTGAATTAGGAATTTAATAATAAATGTTCATTTTCTAGAGTACAGTCCTTGGGGATACCTTGAAAGAGCTGTGTAAGGTGTGGTCTCAGTTTGAAAGTGGGAGGAGTCAGGCAGTTTTAAACACAATGAGGATCTGCCAATCACTAGAGTACTGCCACGCCCCTCTGCCCTCCCTCTCTGCCCTCCAGAACAGCATTGATAAGATACAGGTGCTGTCAATCAACCACATTGTCTTTTTATTCCCAAGCTATTTCTGATTGGTCACAGTATGACATATTTTATTGAATTTAAATATGTGATATATTATTGCATTTTTTTTAAATGTGTCAAATTTGTTAACTTAAAAGTAAACCTTTGGCTTGACAGAGATATGTATTATAATGTATATATTCACAAATGATATCTGCAGGTCTTAAAAGTAGAGACAAAGGAAATTGACAGCCAGTGGGAGGATCTTACCAAGACAACAACAATTCTTATTGGTGGAATTAGCCCAGACTCTGCCCAGGTGTTATCGGAGCACCTAGAAAAAGAAAAAGCAAGGTTAGACTTCACACATACCAGCAAAGCAATGCGAATGTGTATGTAAATGTTCAAGCTCCTACACGTTGTGTCACCCTGTAGGTGGTCAGAGGTGAAGGAAAAGGTCACCCACACCTTGCAGAGGTCACACAGTCTTCTGAAAGTGTGGCAGAGATACTCTGATGTGAGACGCTCCTGCTCAGAGCAGCTCCAACATCTCAAAGAGCAGCTCAACACACACACCAAAACACCCGCTGACAATAAACAACTCACACACAGCATCGCAGAGCTGAAGACTGTGAGTACAATACAAAGACACAGATATTCACAGGTAACCATCCATTTAAACACACACACTTAAGTGGGGTCCAGACCACAATGAAAATGATGTGATGATGTAACACAAAGTTATGATGTAAAGAGGAAATTATTATGCAATATTTCTAGATAAGTAATCAAACAGGCAATATATTACAATATAATATTACTTTTAATTATTTGATTACTGACCTATAAATAGTGCAGAATCATGTCAAGAGTCTATACAAAATTGTATAATAATATAATATAGTATAATATAATAATAAAAGTATTAAGACAAAATGCAAAAGACTTTTGGACTCCATTACAGTATATGTCACAGACTATGTTATTGTCCTTATTTCCTTCTTTTAGGTATTACAGAAATGCTCAGAGACTCTACAGACTGATTTGAATGAAGTGCTGGAAGTATCTAAGGATCTGATTGAACAGATGGTTGATGAGGATGCTGTTTTCATCAGATCAGAATGCCGTTTGTTAACACGTGGTTACCTGCAGTTAGAACAGACTCTGAAAGGAAGAATTGAACACATGCAGGTAAGACTTACACTCCTCTGTGTTTGAATAAGCATGGAAGTGTTTGAAGTATATACTCTCTCTCATTTCATTCAAAACTCATCTGTTGTTGTCAAGTTCCAAAAAACCCCCACAATAATAGCACCATTAAGTATCATAATAGTAGTCTGTAAAAAAAAAAACATGAGGGAGAGTAAATGATGACAGAATTTTCGACTATTCCTTTAATTCAAAACATGTGTGTCTATTCAGGAGGATCTTGAGCAATTTCAAGAATTTGAAAGGTTATTCCAGTCCCTCGAAACACAATTACAGCAGTGGGAAAGCAAGCAACGGATAGACAGCAAACTCACAGATATATCTCAGGTGATAAACACACATGCATAACTCAACAACATAATTTTATTTAAGAAATCCCCATTATTAATAGTTTCTGTATTTCCTTGTTTACAGTCAGGTCTGATGGAGGTCAGTTCTCTCTCTCCTGATCTGGATCTGATAAACACACTCAGCTACAGGCTGACCCTCAGTGACGCTGTCACACATAGGCTTCAGCACCTCAACAGGAAGTGGGCACAGGCCTCCGCACATGCTCAGGAGAAATGCAGGTGACTAGCACTTAAAATCTGATCACCTGAGAAAGATACTAATATCGGATTCAACCCAAAGCATATTACATGTTTATGTGTATACTGTGTGTTTAGTGAGTTGCAGGCAGCCTCTCTCCAGCAGCAGAGCTTTGAGCAGAGATGTGAGAGCTGGCTGGCTTTCCTACAGCGCATGGAGGACAGTTTGGCTGTAGAAATCGCATCAACTTACCCTGGACTGAGAGAACAACAACGAACGCACCAGGTACAACAGTCGACCCCCCAAATGCAACACATATGGATAATAGATCCAAAAAAAATCTATTTTTCTCTCTCCTTTTCGTCTAGTGTTTTCAGGCTGAGTTGTCGTTAGGCCATCAGATCCTTCACTCTGTGATCAGTGAATCTCTCCTCCTGTTGCAGAAGGGAGATGTGGAGGACAGGTGACGATTCTCAACATGTTTTTGTTTTTTTTCAATCTCTTTTTTGTATGATTGCTTGTGACACAATATCATTCAGAAGTTTGGGATCTATATGATTTTTTTAAGAAGTCAGGGCTTTAATTCAGCAAGGATGCATTAAATTGCATTAAAGTGAAAGTAAAGGCATTTATAATGTTAAAAAAACTTTAATATTGTTTCAATATTGATAACAGTGAGAAATCTTTCATGAGCACTAAATCAGCATATTCGAATGATTTCTGAAGGATCATGTGACACTGAAGACTGGCGTAACGATGCTGAAAATTCAGCTTTGCCATTTCAGAAATAAATTACATTTTAAAATATATTAAAATAGAAAGGAGTTGTTTAAAATTGTAATGATATTTCACAATATTACTGTTTTTAATGTATTTTTGATCAAATAAATGCAGCCTTAGGAAGCATAAGAGACTTCTTTCAAAAACATTAAAGAAATTGTACTGACCCCATACTTTTGAAACATAGTGTAATATAGTATTTTATAATTTTGTCATGAAATGTCCTACTTTTATAAATGTTAAGTTGACACTTATAAGTTTTATATTTGGAATTCAACACAGGATTTGAAGTTTTACTAACCACCTTGCCTGTGCCCTCAGGGGTGACTTCCTGTTAAAACTGGCACAGCTGAGAGAGCACTGGCAGGGGGCGGTGCAGAGAGCAGCTCAACGGCGGGCTCTAGTGGAAGGGCTCATACAGCACTGGCAGCTTTATACACACACAATGCAGAAACTGCGCAAACTCCTCACACTCACACACACACTCTTGTTGCCTGCTGGTCCCACACACTGTAGTGTCCTGCAGTTGCGCCTCTTGCTGGAAGATCTGAAGGTAACAAGATGATTTTCAAATATCATTATCATCAACGATGAAGATATTGTATAACTCACAGTTTCTTACTCTCACCAAGGCTTGTATTTATTTGATTAAAATACTTTAAAAACAGTAGCCTAATATTGTAAAACATTGTTATAATTTAAAATAACTGTTTTCTATTTTAATATATTTTAAAATGTGATTTATTCCTATGATGGCAAAGCTGTATTTTCAGCATCATCACTCCAGTCTTCTGTGTCACATGATCATTCAGAAGTCATTGCAGTATGCTGATTTGGTGCTTAAAAAAAACATGTATTATTATCAGTGTTGAAAACAGTTGTGCTGCTTAATCTTTTTGTGGGAACTGTGAGTTTCGTATTGAAAATTCAAAAGAACAACATTTATTGAAATAGAAACCTTTTGTAATATTATGTTTTTACTGCCACTTTGATCTTTGCTGAATACAAATCCCAAGCTTTTATGCATACCTAAAACACCTAAAATAATTGCATATACATTTCTATCAATTTTATATGTTCAAATATAATACGTCAAACACTTATTGCCCTGGAAATATTTAGAAATATTTCTTATTCATAATTGTTTGATTAATTAAGTGAATGAATTGATTTTTTTCTATATTTACACTTTATAATTTAATCTATTGACACCTAGCTTGCAATTGTTAGTGACAAAAGAGTCAGGTTTTTTTCACCATTTCTCCCTCTCTCTTTTTTGTCTGTCCCCTTCACTCTCTCCTTCCTCTCTCTCTCTCTCTCTCTGTCCCTGTAAAGCGAACAGAGCTGTTGTTTCAAAGGTCAGTCTCTGCGTATCTGTGTGTGATGGAGGTAGGCAGGCAGTTGTTCTCAGTGAGTGACACACAGACGCAGATGCAGCTGCAGACAGACCTGGCAGCCCTGCAGGAGGACTGGGAGCAATGCCAGTGCATGCTGGGAAAGAGAAAGACTCTCACGTCTGACATCGTAAAGGTAAGATTGATTGATTGGGTTTGAAATGGGACCTTTGAATGAACTAACTCTTGTGTTTTATTGCTTGGCTCTGTTGCATTTACAAGGTAAACTTATGATAATGTCACAATATTTATCCTTATCCTTATGTTGAAGGTCAAAGGTCACATGGGAAATCCATAAAGCAATGTGAGAGTGTTAGGCTTTTTTCTAAAACTCTCATTAAATCTGTGACTTTTAAACCTGGGAAATTAATTGCTAAAAAGTCAGGGAAATGTCCAGATGTCCTTTTTTTATGCTCAGCTGTAAAATATTTTATAATATAATTTTTTTTTTTTAAATCCTGTAATTATGAACAAATAGTAAAGTATTTTCTAGATGCCAGATATCATTTATATCTGCATATCAGCATTTATGAGGGTAAAGTTTATATAACAAAACAAGCTACTGCAAAGTGAAATTTGCCCTTGGAATTTTATGATTTGATATGATTTTATGATTAGATAAGAAATAGCAGCTTAGATAGTAAACAGCTGGTTATGGATTGTCAATCTTATGTTCAGAGATGCTTCAGAGAACAAACACTGTCTGTCCATGTATGGACCTGTCTAAAACTTCACCAGGAATAAACTCTGCCATTATATACTCCCATTCTAGAATGATGCAGGACAACACTAACTGTTGTATTGTGTGTATAAAATATTCTGTATTATGGTGGTTTTCTGCAGGAATGAGTCCAGCTGTGTTTGACCTACATTCCCTCTGATTCCACAGCTGGACTAATCCAGATCAGACCTTTGCACACACTAATACACAAACATACAAGCACAATAATATTAATATCAGTGTTACTGACCTGAAAAGACTTCATGCAGGTCTGTCTTTCTGCCTCTCTGTCTGTCTTTGTTCTGTCGCAATATATCTGTTTCTCTGCTTCTCATCCATAGTTAGCCTTGATTGTAGTTTAGATAATATGAAGACAGAAAACAAAGGCAGTGTGTGTGTGTACTGGTTTATATATCCTGGTGGGGACTTAAACCTGACTACACACAGACTCATGGGGACTCGTGTCATGGTGGAGACCTAAATTGTGGTCCCCATGGGTACAAAAGCTTATAAATCATACAACATTAAGTTTTTTGAAAAGTGTGTGTGTGTGTATTCACTATGATATGGGGACCAACAAGTCCCCACAAGTATAGTTTGTAATACCAGTCAATTTTGACTGGTAGTCCCCATGAGGAAGCCATGAGGAAACAAGTCCCCATGAGGAAACAAGCTTATGAATCATACAGAATAAAGTGTTTTGAAAATGTAAAAATGCTGAAAGTTTTGTGTGAGGCATAGGTAAGGGGATAGAAAATACAGTTTGTACAGTAGAAAAACCATTATGTCTATGGAATGTCCCCATAAAACATGTAAACCAGTGTGTGTGTGTGTGTGTGTGTGTGTGTGTGTGTGTGCGTGCACTTGTCATGTGCTAAAGGGTTTATAGTAAAGCCTGTCTAGGGATTTACAGCTCTCCCTGTCTGTCTCAGCCTTTCTATCTCTCTCTCTCTCTCTCTCTCTCTCTCTCTCTCTCTCTCTCTCTCTCACATGTCTTTCTTTCTCTTCCATTTTCCCGC